CTGGACTGGACTCTGGACTGGACTCTGGACTGGACTCTGGACTGGACTCTGGACTGGACTCTGGACTGGACTCTGGACTGGACTCTGGACTGGACACTGTGCTCTCGATCAGCTCTGTACCAACCGTACTTATTGTATATCAGGATACGTTCATGAGAAGAATTTTTCAAAAAAATTTTTTTCGATATTTTGATTCATCAAGATGATTACTTACATTTCATGTAAAAAATGTTTTGAAATTATATTTCTAAACGGAGAAAATTGTTCATAGATGTTTTGATCGACACCTTGGCTTCTTCACGGCTCGAGTAAGAATACGCGTTTTTCTCCGAAGGTTTTTAGCCTGCGTGCAGCCGGACTTTTCTCTCGTATAACAGTTAGTTGAGTTCGGCTGCACGCAGGCTAAAGGTTTTGGGCAATAAAGCAACTTCTTTAAAACGTTATAACTCATTCGGATTACAGTGAATCAGGCTGAAATTTCGCACAATTATAATTTACGATGTAATTTAGAAATCGGTATCTCTTTTTGAAATAACTTTGTGCTCGAAAAATATTTTATTCTATTTTGTGAACAGAAACACTTGAGAATTAAACATCCGGATTTGACGTCTAAAAAAGCTATCAAAAATCTGAGACCGTTTTGAAGCTCATTATCAACAGAGTATGCTGATGTGTTTTTTGTGGTCATGGCGGAAATTCTGATCCTGTTGTAACATGCCCATCGATGATAGGTAGGATTCGACTTTGAGCATTATAATTTTTTTCTGCTCAAGAACCAACGGCTTAAAATATATTTTCGAAACCTACGTTTATCTAGCTTTTATAGAATAATGTTGAAAAGACAGCGCGAAATTCGGCTTCCGCGCAAAGCGGCTATCTTAAGGTAACCTGATACCTTAAGATAGACCTTTCTTTATCTGTTTTTTTTCCCCGAGAAATTTTAGCTAGTTTTGTAGCTCCCTTTGCCTCAGTTATCTGTCATTCAATCTTCAGCGGTTTTTTCGTAGAAACATGTAGAAATCCCCACTTTAAATTTAGTAAMACTTTTTCTTTGAAAAAAATATATTATGTCAAGAAAGTAGCAGGAATTTCTGTGCTTTTGGGCCCTGATAACATGGGAGTCATGAATAAACAGCAAACTGTCAGGATTGACAACTCATAACTCCCAGCCATGTCACTTGAGATTTTCGCTTCCGGCCACACACACACACACAAAGAACATTGCCGAAAATAAATGATATAGTCTTAAATGTGTATATGTATTGTAGAGAGTGCATGATAAAAAGATGCAGCACTAAAGCACGTGTGATGAGCCGACGATTTTTTGATATGATAGAACCTGAAGATCTCTTGACAATTTTAAAGATCTTAACATAATTCGTAACTTAATGATCTCTACCAATGACAAGGTTATGTTTTATTTTTCTAAGTTTATATACAAATGCTTCATTCTTAGGAATGAATCA